CGGGCGCAGGCCAGCGGAGTGGCGCATGGGGCCATCTCCTTTCAGGGGGGCTCAGACCAGCATCCCAAAGCCACCGTTATCCCCAGGTGCCACCCAAGAGAGCAGCTCAAGGGGCTGTGTAGGGGACTCCCTGTGACCTCTCACCCCGGCACTGGGGATCCTGGGAGGGACCTGCCATTGGCTGTTCCCTGAGCCCTCGGGGGGAGAGGGATGGGAGCCCTGGGGCCAGCACAGAGCCCATGCCCGGGGGCGTCTGTGCCGCCGGAGGGGCCTGGCCAGGGCATTTCTGGGACCCACGGCTGCGAATTCACGTCCCCACTGGCGGATCCTGCCCGGCTGCCGCATCCCACCCCAGAGGGGGGCAGCATGTTGCAGTCGGTGGGCGATTGCCGGGCAGGCGGGGGGCTCCAGGAGGAGAGGCGGGAGGGTCTCTCCTTCCCTGGCCCCCCAACTCCGGGTTCCAGCCAGGCCTTCACCCCTCTCTCTCTCCTGTGCCCCCCAGGAAATCCCCACCAGCCCCTTCCGCATCAAGGTGGACCCGTCCCACGACGCCAGCAAGGTGAAGGCTGAGGGGCCCGGGCTCAGCAGAACAGGTATGGGGGACTCGGCGGGGGGCACCGGGCTTGGGGGAGCGGGGTGGGGGCTTTGCGGGGGGCGCTGTGTTGGGGGGGCAGTGGGTGGGGGCTCGGCGGGGGGGGCGCCGTCCATGGGGAGAGGGGCTGGGGCTCGGTGGGGGGCACTGTGTGGTGGGTGGGTCCAGGGCGCCAGGGGAAGTTGGGCTGGCAGGACGCTGACCCGGCCCCTCGCTCCCCTTCCCGCCAGGAGTGGAGGTCGGCAAACCCACCCACTTCACCGTCTTCACCAAGGGCGCTGGCAAGGCCAAGCTGGACGTGCAGTTCGCTGGGGCGGCCAAGGGCCCAGCCGTGCGGGACTTCGAGATCATCGATAACCACGACTACTCCTACACCGTCAAGTACACCGCCGTGCAGCAGGTGAGGGGCTGGGACGCGTGCCAGCTGGGCACCTCTCCCCTCCAGGGCTTGGAATTGCCCCCCCACACATGCGCCAGCTGGGCACCTCTCCCCTCCAGGGCTTGGAATTGCCCCCCCACACATGCGCCAGCTGGG